CTTATGGTTTGTAACCGTGTGCAATGACGCTGGTTCACATCTCCTTACTTAATTTTTTTTTTTTAGTAACAAAACATGTGGCAGTTTTGCAGAACTGGTACAGCTGCCATTTCTGTCAGTTTACGTCGGCCATTACTCAGTATGTCATATTCTGATACCTTTGTCTCTCCCCCCCCCCCACCCCTACAGCCTACACGTACTCCCTTTAACACAACCCTGCATGGAATGAAAATGTTCTTGGACCTAGTGCACCATAAATTGATAGCTGGTGAAACAAAGGCATAAGTAAAACTTCTGAATGGCGAAAATTAATTCCTCCGGTGACATTCTAGTATATATAGATTGATCTGTCCTGGTACTATGTGCCACAGCGAGCCACACTAAAACGTTACAACCGGTATAGAGTAAGTGGAAGACCTCGGAAAATATGGAGTGATGGTATTAAGAACAGCCTTACAGAAATGAACTCAGTCATAATAGTGCTCTTGACAGAGCTCATCAACGTACATTACATCTCCCTTCCCCCCTCCCCCTGACACTTCGATGAGGTACAAGGTGGAAGAGAAGAAGAAGAAGAAGATAGATGGATCTCAAGTGAACAATTCCAAAAAAAAAAAAAAAAAGTGGTGGGGTTTCATTGCAAAGTTAAATGACATTGTTTGAAATTTGAACAACGGATCAACATCATGGCACACGGGTAGTACCTATAAGTGCTCCGTTCTACTTCTAGCTAAAGTCTGAGTCAGAGTTCATAACTCCAAAATACAATTTTCAATTCAAATGTTGACAATTTGGCAGCGATCATGTTTGAAATTATATTGGCAACTGAATGGAGTTTTGACCGTTAAGAAGGCAATGGCAAACTGCTGCCCAGATGGCATGGTCTCATGGATGAGACGGAATAAGAGCATTGAACCAAACTGTAATTTTGACGATAACATAGAACTGGCTAACTTTTACAGTCTATTCTTTTAAGCAGCTGCATGACGATGATGGCAAAATCGATTGGTTGTTCTATTTGTGTTGCAATGAGATGACCAAACACATTAACTCCCACTGCAAAATTTATAATCCATCCATAAACCTAAACCATACATTTCGAATTTTTTAATACATGGAAGTTTATGTAGTGATGCAATGACACCATGCTGGTAAAAGTTTGCTACTTATCCTTTACAAAGACAAAACCAAATCCACAATTGTTTGGCTACAATATTATGCTCGGTAATTTGCCATTGCATTATGCACGGTCGGAGCTATACACAATTGCCACAGTCAACGCAAAACGGGCTGCTCCGAAACGCCTGCAGATGAAATAGAAAAAAAAAAAAAAAAAGGATTTCGCAATTACAAACCTCTTTGTGGCCTAAGCCACAGACGCCTACACGCTATCGGAGTACATGCATTTTTTTTTTACACGACAGCTCCTTGAACTCACCATGTCGGCAAACTGATTTTCCCTCAAATAGTAACTGGTCAGCCCCTGATCATAGAGCTTATTGTGCTCTTCGATCGTCTGGAGATTGGTTTGCCAGTTGTGGCGGCGGACAGCGTCTTCGTCTTCAGTGTAGACTTTGTTATATGTTTTCTTGTAGACAACCCAGTCAGCTTCAAGACTGGCGGCTGCCAGAGTTAGTGCCACCGTCAATATTGCAAGTCTGAACATCTATTATAACAAATAGAAAACAAGATTTTAACTAGCTGAAGTTCGTAAAATTGTAAGATAACTATACCTCTTCCATATATATATATATATATATTTTTTTTTTTCTAGTCAGATCAGCCATCTCAATAGCACTCATATAGGTTTTTAATGTTGCCTCTTTCCGCCGTGCTGCATACGTAACAAGGCAACTCTCCCTAACTGAACAAAATGGCAGTTTATTTGTCGTCTGCTGACGGGGTGGCGTTGCTATTTAGCTATTCATACATGGGTGGTGCCTTTTAGGAATGCAGACTTTGTTCCATGAAGTATTTTGCAATAGCCATTTAAAAAAAAGTAGCAACATTATTTAATAGCCCGACTTGTGTGTGAGTGTCTGTCTGTCTGTCTGTCTGTCTGTCTGTCTGTCTGTCTGTCTGTCTGTCTGTCTGTCTGTCTGTCTGTCTGTCTGTCTGTCTGTCTGTCTGTCTGTCTGTATCTGGTAATAAAAGTTTACTAAATCTACATGACTCTTTTTGCTCTCAGGAAACCGCGGTAGCGTTGACGCTTGGCACCGCGCTGTCGACTCTAAGATCATGGGTTCGAATCCGTATCGAGTCAAACTTTTATCGCAACTGACTTTTTTCTCTCAAGTCGACTCAGCATACAATAGGTGCCAGGTGATATCCCAGGAGGTAAAGGCAGAGGGATGGTGTTGACCACATCAGGCACCGAGTTGCAACTGGCCCTCTAAAACATCATTCTAAAACTATCTGCCCGATGCTTCATTTAAATAAAAGGGGGCGTTCTTCCATCTCCTAAAATAATGATTCCATTCTATTCATTACATGGTGGAGTGTCTCTGTTCACGTTGTGAAACTGATTTCTGCTGATTGCCTCTGTTCATAGCGACCCCAAGCACGTACACTGTGACCGGATTGCACCAGTTACAAGAATAATAAATAACACCTGTTAAAAAGGGATGTAGAGATAACATCCAGACTGTCATACAGACACTTGCTGTCACCTACTGCAAAGAGAAGGCCAACCAGAGAAATGAATGTGGAACTCTCTCCATCTCTTTGCGATCATGGTAGAGACATGTTCCCCGTGGTGTCCTGGCCAACATGGATAGGTTCGTCGTTTTCTTCCAAGTCTGAGACGCAAGGATCCAGTAGTGTGCACTCATATAAGATATTATCTGCACAGCAGATGTGCTAGAGAAATTTAAATCCTTAAATAATAAGTGGACGAACAACCAAGCTCTTGTGCCAGAATTTACAGTTGGAGAACGCGAAAAAGAGGAGAAGCAAAAGTTGAAGAATTGACTTAAGAAAGAACTTATATATAGGTCAAGAAATACCAGGTATGCAAAGAGAGGATAATGCTGCAAGTAGTACAGAGGGACCCAAAGCAGCCCAACGACTGGACGCTTACAAGTCGGAATGAAAATATTCGTTTTTAAGGCAAAATTCTTGTTTAAAACTACCCGACACTTTATTTGCAAAGAAAGGGGGGGGGGGGGGGGGGGGAACACTGCCTAACTGGAACTGTCCTGAACAGAAAAGCAGCATATTGTTTTTCACAATACCAAGCGCATACCGATTAATCTTAAAAAAAAATCTTTTTTAACACCGCAGGCCAGATGCGCCAGTGTGGTGTCAAAGGTCGGTCAGTTTATCTTATTTCTAAAAGGGATTTATGAGAACTGCTTTTCGACCCTGCCCAACGTGGTATGTGCTACTTCCATCGAAGGTGAACTCCCTTTCTAGCGCCGAACTGTTTGTACCGGCAATTGATACGGCTGTCTTATTTAATGTGTGCATGATACACACTGTGCTGGGACTTCAATCTGTTTCAACTGCTGACACAAGGCACAGAGATGGGCATTCTATGTTTTCTTTGGCGCAGAAACGGAGCAGCTATGGGATGACCCATTGTCTGTTATGTTATAACTGCCATTACCTGATCAGCAGACTGGCTACCTTACGGATAAAGAAACAACGTTGAAGAGTACCATTACCTTGAAGTCTAGGACTGTTGCAGTACCGCCTGAGAGTGCAGTCTCTGTGGGCAACTGCTGCCTTTTTATTGTACTGCTTCAGATAGTCACATGATGTCACCACAATCACATGATTGTACGTTCAATTATGCAGCACCCCCACGTGATATGTGCTTGTGTGTGTGTGTGTTGTATATATATATATATATATATATATATATATATATATATATATATATATATATATATATATATATGTGTGTGTGTGTGGTGTGTGTGTGTGTAAGTGTACCTACATAATTACATCTTGAACCTTAAACTTGATTCGTTTAATGTGTTCATCTGTTCTCTTATCGCGTGCATCACTGACTGGTTTCAAACTGCAACTTTGTGTGTATCTGGATTAAATCTAATCTTATTTATTGCTCCACCTTGGAGTATTTTTCGTGTCTTTGTTTCATGCAACTAAAGCTACTAAATGGATGGACCAACAAGTCTGACTGGGAAGCAAGACTTCCGAGACAGTCCTTAGGTTGCAGTTCAAGCTTCACAGCGACGGGTCATCCCATAAATGTTTAGTTCCTCTGCCAGTTATCTTTCTCTTCTTCCTCGCGTTCCCCTGCTGTAAACTCGGGCAGAAAGTTCTGGTTGTTCGTCAACTTCTGGACTGTAGTCCTGTTCCAGAACCTGAGAGTTGCGTGCGCATCAGGTTTACAAATCTGACATTTTGAGCAGACTGTTGGTTCTTTGCCTCTGAGACAGATGCACTTTGAACTCAAAAGAAGCGCCCATTTAGTCGACCCTGACGTCATGCTGTTAGGTAGGTAGTGAGTGGGTCTGTTCTTGTTCTCTCTACAGTAGGGCTATGGAACCAACTCGGAGACCTTACCAGTTGAAAACCACACAAAATATCAATGACTGTCTTATGTGAAATGCTGATCAGACGGCATTGAACAAGAGATCAAATGTTAGCATGCGACAATTTTTACATGTTTAAATAAAGATCTCATTATACATGCTTTCTTTATTCACCTTATTCATCTTACTGACTTACTAAATCGGCCCTTCTCTACTCTGGGTTTAGAGGTTTGCCAGAGAGATCGCCAGACTTCTCAGTCAGAGGTTTTTTTGTGTGTGTGGCTTTGTTTCCATTGCAGTCTTCTGGTCAGGCAGGGACTTTCAGATGCTGTTCTTCCGACGAACCATGGATCTTCCTGGTGTTCTTGTTCCCTGCTTCTTGACCTCCCATACCTGTCATGGTGGTCAACTGACTGACATTTTGCATACATGGCCAACCCATCGTATGTATGAGGTCATGACGCATTGCGTGGTTGCGAAATTTGCCCCATTTAAAGAGTGATTTGCTTAAGTGATTTTGCAATGTCTGTTATCATCCTTTTTAAATGTAATGTTTAATGACGGTAATCTTTCTATCGGTATGGTTTTACTACATTAGGCTGAGAGAACTTTCAAGGGAAGTAGTTGACCTGCAACTACCCTATATTTGACCACGTCTTATATTATCCTATCATGCCCTGTTATTGTGCCCAGCTGAATCTTATCAATAGCTGTTTCCATTTTCCTCCATACTAATGCTATCGCCTCCTTGGTTGGTTTTCTTCTCTGTAGTGAGGTTCACTTTTAAAGGGACATGACTGTCCTTAACCCACTGGAGCTTTCAGAAGTATTCTTTCAATCTGCTCATAATAACATTTATAATAGTAAGGAAAGCTTCAGGAATTTTAACGAGCATCCCCGCCTCCCTTTTTGCATGGGTTCTTAAGGATTTTGTAGAACAGCTTTTGATTTTCTTTTGCATTTTTTCCCTAGCTTTAATCCAATTCTTCACAAGATTGTTATTTTATATTTTTCTTCTTAAAGTCCATGCCATGTGTGCTTTGGTAGTAATGTCTATCCACAACCTTCCTTCTCGTGTACTTTAAATCAAATCTGACACATATGATCCTCCATGACATAATGTCAAACTGTTCAGTATCTGTTCTCTCAGTCTCCCTATGCATCTTCTCCCCCTTTAGCATATCTCCTGTCACAATGTACTTCAGTTTTCTCCTTCTCATCACATGACCAAAGAAAGTAGTTTGTCTCTTTCTGATATGGGCAATATGTTCTTTTCGTGAGTCAGTTCTAAATTAGGCACTGTACTTTTGGCTACTGTTCTGAATGTCACATATTGTTACATTTTTCTCCAGCTATGGGATTGACCCCTTCCCTGAACTGATACTTCCTGACAGTCAAGTATCAGCAAAGCATGGCCTGCCATGTGTCTGCCAATCCGCAATCCCTGCCAAGACACTAATCATCCACAGCGTGAAGTAGACAATAGACAAACCTGTGTTCAGTTGGACACACTCCCATCCTCCAAGGATAGTGCCACCCTTCAAATGTAGTCTTCATATATGGCATACTTAGTTACAACATCCTTAACTCTCTCTCTCTCTGTGAGTGCCTTTCTAAAAAAAAAAAAAAAAAAAAATAATTAATTTTCGTTTCAACTATCAGTTATCTATTTATTTGAAAATTATAAAAATCTTTTTTTTACAAATTTGAAAAAAAAATTAAAAGAATTTCATTTTTACTGCTAAACTAAACTGTCCCTTATTCTAACATCCACTATTTTACAAAATCATTTACCCAGAATTCACAATAGTCTAACATATACTTTTTGTTTACATTTACTCCACATAAAACGTTTAGTTAATTTAAAATTCATTGAAACTTTTTAGAAGCAATGGACTAACTATGTAAGATTACTTTTCAAAAACAAAGAATTATTATAATTGCAATGCAAAAATATTAATACCACGAAAAAAAAAATGTAGGAAAAAAAGGGTTATGAACCAAACCATATAAGTAAAGTTACGAATTTTAAACATAAATTTTTTTTTTGCAATACCACAAGAATTTAAAAAAAAATAATTACAACCTGAAATAATTAGGTGGACACATTTAATAGTTTAAAAAAAAAAAAAAAAAAAAAAAAAATTAACCTTTTATCTATCTA